AACTCATAATATTTGGCTGAATGTTGATAATACTGTTTAGAATAGATGACTAAGGGTTGTTTGTTTATGTATTTATTTATGTCAATGCTTACATAATTGGAGTATGGCTATAATAACATCAATTATTTGAAATTTGCTAAGCTCATTTTCATGGCTTAGCATCTAGGTCAATGTTTATGAATGTCCAATATGTACTTGAAAATACATGTTTTAGTGGACATATGTCCAGGTATAAAGTTTGTAAATGATACTCTTTAAATATGTTACATACAGCAGACATTTTTTGCAATTTTGGTTTTAAGGATCTATCAGTACCTTACGACAGTATTTTTAAGCCTCTCATTATATGTTGGTATATTTATCAATGTCTCTAAGATCTATAAAAGATGCTTTAAAACTCTGATGGGTTTTTTCTAATGTTTTACTTATTTTCAGAGAGAGAGAACACAAGTGTGGGAGGGGCAGAGAGAGAAGAGGAGAGAAGATCCAAAGCAGACTCTGCACTGACAGCAGCAAGCCCCATGCAGGGCTCAAACTGACCAACATGAGATCATGACCTGAGCCAAATGATCAATTAACTGAGGGTGTTATTCTTACCAGATATGTTTAGAGATATTATAGCTCCTCTGTACACAGAGTAGATTTTCATATACATCTTTTACATCTTACGATGTTTTTCCCTCAAAATCCGTCTAAATTGTATATCACTTTTTTAGTTGCTTGTATTTTCAGGGTAATTCTAATTTGTATTTTATAATTTCAACATAAATCAGTCTTTTAAATTTATGTGTGTGACTTAGAAGCAGAATATAATTATATTTTGTGTTTTGTTGAGATTACACATTTCATTGATTTGAAAAAAGATAGTTTAAAGGGCACCTGGGAGGCTCAGTCATCTAAGAATCTGACTCTTGATTTTAGCTCAGGTCGTATCACAGTTCAGTTCTTGGAACTGAGCCCATGTGTCACCATGTCGGGTTCTATGCTGATGGGCACAGAGCCTACTTGGGACTCTCTCTGTCCCTCCACCACTAAGTTCTCTCTCTCTCTCAAAGGAAATAAATAAATAAATATTTTAAAAATGAATGAAAATAAAAAGTTTGATTTGCTCTTCAATATTTCTATTACAGTCTTTCTATTTGACTTTCTCTTTAAATGTTTTATATTTTCCATTCTGGGTTTGATTGATTCAAGGTTTTTTTTCTTTTCCTTATTCCATTTGTTCCCTTCAACTTTTTTAAACATTACAATTATTCTTTTTAGTGATTAGCCTAGCTTCTTAAATACACATATTCAATCATATCTAGTTACTCAGTTTCTTTACCTCATTCTTAAAATATACAAAGCTTAAACTCTGAAAACCTATTCTCCAATTGTATGTCCATTGTATTCCAACATTTTAGTTCTAAATTGGTTTTCCTCAAAATTAGAATTTGTATCTGTTTTTTAAAGAGTCAGGTTTATTTCCACTTATCCACCTACTTTGCAGTGTCTCCACTCAGTATGAATCCTTCAACTCTAAATTTCCACCTGTAACCACTTTTTTCACATCTGGAATACATCTTTGATACATCTTTGAAAAGCTACTTTATTGAGAATATATTAGAAAGAATCTCTATATTCTTCCTTACTTCATTTGAAAATATATTTATTTAAATTTTGTTAATTGGCTAAGGGCACCTGGGTGGTTCAGTTGGTTTAGTTTCCAACGTTGGCTCACGTCATATGCTCACAGCTCATGAGTTCATGCACAGCAACAGGCTCTATGCTGACAGCTCAGAGCCTGGATCCTGCTTCAGATTCTGTCTCCCTCTCTCTCTGCTCCTCCCCTGCTTGTGCTCTGTCTCTCTCTCTCTCTCTTAAAAAATAAACGTTAAAAAAATAGGATAATTTAACCACCTATAAAATTAAAAACTGGAGACTATTTTCTCTCAGAGCTTCAAACATATTATTTTTATGTCTCTGGCCTCATTGGGCTGTTGAAAATCTGTTCTCATTCTAATTGCAAACTTGGTGTAGATTATTTTTCCCTCACTAATTTTAATGTTTTTATACTTACTTCATATTATTTACTTTCCAATGATTATCTATGTGTTAATTAACTATTTTTTATTCCAGTTGAATTTGCTAAAATTCTTGGATCTGAGAAGAGATACCTTTTAATAATCCTGTAAAATTGTTATCCATTATATCTCCAGAGTTGGCTTGAAGAATGGCTTCTCCGTTCTCACTTTTATTATTTATATACCTTCGTAAAATTTTCTGTTGGATTTTATTGTTTTCTATTCTGTCATTTCTTTTTCATATTAGCATTCATATTGACAACTCTTTGTTCCCTCTCTGAGTGGCATGGAGTTAGTTCTTCAGATTCCCCTGAGCTTCCACTCCTGTTTGTGTTCCACCAGTTTACTACTCATTCTGTCCAACCTACTATATATAATATAACCTATCCTGTGGATCCTTTTAACTTAGTATTTAATTTCATGATTTAACTAACCCACCAACTGTATATTTAGTCAAAAATTATGTTTTGTTTTAAAAATTTTCAAATTCTTCCTAATAATTTGTCCCACATGTAGTTTTCTCATTCTTGCTTAAAATATTAAAACTAATGCTATTTTTTCCCATAACATATATTAAAATGAGTTTTATGTTTTGTATATAATTATTTTAACCTCTAAAAATTTGGCATGTCTCATTCTACTGCCTTTTTTTCTCACCTTCACTTTTGGTGCTTTATTTTCTACATTTTTTTTTTAAATTTTTTTTTTTTTTTTTTTTTTTATTTCTAGGAGAGAGAGAGAGAGAGACAGCGTGAGCAGGGGAGGGTCAGAGAGAGAGGGAGACACAGAATTGGAAACAGGCTCCAGGCTCCGAGCTGGCAGTCAGCACAGAGCCCGACGCGGGGCTCGAACCCACGAACCGCGAGATCATGACCTAAGCGAAAGTCGGACGCTTAGCCGACTAAGCCACCCAGGCGCCCCTATTTTCTACATGTTTATAGTATTACTTTTTAAATTTCTAGTGACTTTTTTCTTTGAACTTTGCAGAAGTACTGTGACACTAAGCTGATATTACATTCTTTCAGAGAGTATTTGTTTTTATTCCTGTTGATTAGTCAAGAATAGCATGACTTAGAAGACTGTATTTAAATTCTCACCTTGAAGAGGTGGGTTATTTTTAAATTTTTCTTTGGTTTGTAGACTTTTTTCTTTGCCTGTATACTTTTGCTCCAAAGTGGTACAATTCTGAACTATAAAAATCATATGAGGTCCATTAGATGTTAATATTCTCAAGGGAAACAAATCTCCTCTCTCTCCTAAGTACTAAAACATCAAGATAGCTTGGTTTCATTATTGCCTCCTTCTTTTAAGAGAGTTTATGTCTTGTTCACGTTTACATTGACTGTATGGTCCCAAATGATCACAGTGTTGGGCATGTGTGCACATGTATGTTGTGGGAGCAAGAGGATCTTTAGATCTGTTCCATCTTGGACAGAGTCTGAGCTTTCTCTTGGTTCATTGCACCCCAGACAGCCACTGTTGGAGAAGCTCAAGTTCTCCCAAGACTTCTCCTTTAATTTCCATTTTTAGACAAAATCTGATCTTTCATTTGTGACTACTCAATAATTAATCTAAAGAAGTTAATTTTTTCCAAAGAAGTTTAGTTATTCCAAGATCTCTAGTTTTATATGCAAAGAACAACAGAAGTCACAAAGGAGTTCTTAACATTATAAAACAAGTATTTAAAACTGAAAATTTTTATAATGGACTTACTCTTAAAAGAGCAGGATTGCATGAATAACTTAGACTGACTTCAAAGTGCAAATCAACTTAGGAACTAATTTGTAAAATATCCAGCTATCACTTCCTTATTTACACCCTAGTTTTTAAAAAAACCTGATCACCTAGTGAAAAAAAGTTGAAAATATGAGTTTTCTACTTTTAAAAGCTTTAATTGCTGAGGGTAATGATTCTGAAAAAAAGATTATATTTTTATTGTCGGGGATGTTCTTCCATAGCAGAATCTGTTCATCACAGCAATGCAAGTCTTAGGGGATTGCGTTAATGGGCCGTGCTGCCACCAATAAACACCTTGAATTGGTAGTTATTTCAGAGAACAAGTAAGTCACTCTTTTATAGACTAGGTCTTTTAAATGCACTGTGAAATAAAAGGCACATAAGCTTAAGAATAATTATTCCCATTATGCATACTTTTAGGACTCAAGACACTGAGGTAACAAGGAAAATACATGCAAAAGAAGCATGCATGGAAAGTTCAAGTATGAGATTCTCAATGAGTATATTAAGTGAAGAAATGTGCATACATAATACATTTATAAACTTTTAAATCAATCATCTCATGATAAAAGCAGACAGAAATATTTTATTACTGGATACTCAATGACAAAAAGTGACTAAGCTGCTTCTCAAGGCAGATTATATATTACGGGGTAGGGAGAGCATTACTCTTTTACATGCACTGTGTAAGTTCTATTTTTCAGGATACTTTAAGAAAATCAGAATTTTTCTTAAGTTTATTTATTTATTTTGAGAGACAAAGAGAGTGTGAGCAGGGAAGGGACAGAGGGAGAGAGAGAATCCCAAGCAGGCTCAGTGTTGTCAGTACAGAGCCTGATGTGGGGCTTGAACTCATGAACTGTGACTTCATGACCTGAGCTAAAATCAAGAACGCTTAACTGAGCCACCCAGGTACTGCAAGAAAATCTGAATTTTTATATTGAAAGAATATTTCTACTATCTAAGGGAAAAATAATAAGTTATCAAGACTTTATATGAAAATGAAGTCTCATAGAAACCATTTTCTGGAAAATTTGATCATTCCCTACTATGTCATCTCCTCACAAGAACTTTTTCAAAAATCATGATGAATATTGCCACCATGTTCAGTTACATGAGATGTTTTGGAACACATAAAAATTAAGAATATTCTTGTCCTCCAACTATATACTTTTGAATACACTATTCAAAATTGAAATCTAGGTTGGGAGATTTTTCATGAATTTGCAGGTTATCCTTGCACCAGGGCCATGCTAATCTTCTCTGTATCTTTCCAATTTTAGTATACGTGCTGCCAAAGTAAGCACTGGGTGGAGAGATTTTTCAATATAAAATTATTTAATATTGAACAGAAGTGAGGAAAACATTTAGTTTATTTGAACAAAGTTCATTGACAACCTACATATTTCAAACTTATCAATATATTTAAGCCATCAATATATTTAAACCATCAAATATACCACTGAACCCTCATATTAGATAACTTTCTTAATTTCTGGCAATTCTTGTCACTTTTCAGTTGTTCTCTTTTAGTGAGTACTCACCTTTGAAGAAAACATTCTATGTTATGAGTTCCTGGACTAGTAAGCTGGTCTTATTTACTGTGGTCTTATTTATGACCACAGTCAGATGTCACTTTATTAGTTATTACCAGGATAGTAAAACTGTATGCTAGGTAAACAGTGAAGAGATCCTTAACTTAGACTCCCTTGGGGAATTTGGGACAGGTAAAGATCACCAGGTTACAAATGAGCCTAATCCTAAAGGAAGAATGACAGAAACATCAGTGAAAATGTTGAAGAATCATTCCAGAAAGAGCAATTAGAATGTACAAAATCATGAAGACATAAAAATGTATAATTTCTTAAAAGAATTTTAGGTAGAATGATATGTCCTCCTGAATTGGGTGAGGTCTTGATGATGTGGCAGGAGTCTGAGGCTAGAGATTGAATCTGGGGCCAAAATACTGATAGCTTTAGGGAGCGGAGTGTACATACAGAAATGACAAACTAAGTTTTTTATGTTTTACAAATATCTGAGGGTCTCTAGGATGGAGTACAATGACAGGGGAACATACAGGAAGATGGTGCAATAGTACAGGTGAAAAAACTGAATTAAAAGAGGTAACCATCAGTATAACAAGGAGAGGGCTGATTTGAAGATATTAAAGAAATAACAGATATCAATGTCCATTTTATGTGTCTAGCAAATAACACAAAATTTGTCTCAAATTACATTGTCCAGTAACATGTCCTCTAGCCTCATGTGACCATACACATTTAAATTTATGTTAATGTTAAGAAAATTTAAAAGTTCAGTTCTTCACTAGCAGTGTTCAACAGTCATATGTGGTGAGTGTTACCATATTACAAAGTACCAATATTGGACAGTGCCAGTGTAGAATGAATCCCAGATATTTATTGTGAACTATTTGTGATTAAGAGTAAAGTACTCAATATTAGCAGGCCGTGGGTGTGGACTGATAGAAAGGGGGCAATGAAGAAAATATCAGTTTCAAAAAAAGACAGAGACATTTGCTTATGCAACTTATTTTTATATTCAAGCCTTGCCCAAATCCATTTTTTTTATATTTCCACATGATGATAGATTTTTGCTGCATATGTCCAATTTTATAAATAAATGGATCAGACATAGAAAACTCAGGCTGCAGAGTTATCTGATATCCAGGAGAAACCAGCCTCCCTTTCAATCAAGGTGCTCTATGTCGGTGACCTGGCTTTAGTCTAGAGCTGTGTACAAGGCCATGATTTTGCACTGTACTGATTCTTCAAATTTTTGGCCACCAGATCTAGAAAGCTATTCTCTCTCTTTTATATAAGTCATGCATTATTCCAGTGTGCTCTCCATTTGATTTCTTGGGACATCAAGATTCATGAGGTGTTACCAGAAATCCCTATGGGCCAAGTATGTCCTTGCTATTCTTCACAATAAATTGTTGGAAGATATTCTCCATGAATATTTTCATGCTTTTAAATAATCCAGGCTTTCTAAGTAAAGAGGATGTTTGAATAAGAAAGGCTTTGGAAGCTAGAGATAATGTGTCACTCTGAAGAAATTTACAGAATTGTCTCCCTGGAGTCATTTCTTTACATTCATGTTGAGATGTGACTCTATTCTTGGGTCAAAGAGCAAGAAGAATTAGTACCCCGTTGTAAGTGTCTGCCCCAGGAAGATTATCAGAGTTTTTAAGCAAAGAAAAGCTCATTTCCTCAGGTACCTATGGTCAGGTTGCTTAAATGGCACAGGGAGGCTTAGAGTTATTTAATATGGGTTCAAGTTGTCAGTTTCTTTTAAGTCCAACCTGTTCACAGGGGTAAGCTCCTGTTTAATAAAACAGGAAATGAGATGAGAGGCAGTAAATTGATAAATGCCACAGAGTAGGACTGATTTTTTTTTTTAAAAGGAGCAACTACAAACAATTACCACAGATGTAAATGTTTGAATAAGATGTGCCAGGAAAACAAGTTGGTTATTTGACTTAGAAATAGTCAAAATTTTATTCTACTACCCACTGCTGGTAAAACACAATTTACCAATATATTCTCTATCCTTGAACCTTATTGAGATACACATACCATCTTTCTCAACAAAACACTATAAGCCCAATTATCACTTCAGGCCTAAAATAAAACCTCTATTTGGAGATATATTTTTTTTTAATTTTTTTAAATTTACTTATTTTGAGAGAGACAATGAGAGCACAAGTAGGGGAGGTACAAGAGATGGAGCGGGGGAGAGAGAAAGAGAAAGAGAGAGACAGAGAGAGAGTGACAGAGAGAGAGAGAGAGAGAGAGAGAGAGAGAGAGAGAGAATCTCAAGCAGGCTCCTAGCTGCTAGTGCAAAGCCGGACACGGGGCTTGAACTCACAGAACCTCAAGATCATGATCTGAGCTGGAACTAAGAGTAAGACACATAACCAACTGATCCACCCAGGCGCCTCCCACTTTAAGATAATTTAATACAGTAAAACATATTTTAATGGAGATTGATGGCATTTGCTTGCATTTAATAAACACTCTCATTAAAATGAATATTCAAAATAAAGTGTGAAGATGGATGATACACCTAACACTATTTACTTTTTGTGGAAATTGAGTGACCCCAGACCAATGAATGAGTTAAGAATTAAATTTTCCGGGGGCTCCTGGGTGGCTCAGTCGGTTAAGCGTCCGACTTTTGCTTAGGTCATGATCTCGCGGTTCGTGCGTTCAGGCCCCACGTCGGGCTCTGTGCTGACTGCCAGCTCAGAGCCTGGAGCCTGTTTCAGTCTGTGACTCCCTCTCTCTCTGACCCTCCCCTGCTCACGCTGTCTGTCTCCTAGAAATAAATAAAACATTCAAAAAAGAAAAAAAAAGAATTAAATTTTCGGGGCGCCTGGGTAGCATAGTCGGTTAAGCGTCCGACTTTCGCTTAGGTCATGATCTCGCGGTTCGTGGGTTCAAGCCCCGCGTCAGGCTCTGTGCTGACTGCCAGCTCAGAGCCTGGAGCCTGTTTCAGTCTGTGACTCCCTCTCTCTCTGACCCTCCCCTGCTCACGCTGTCTCTCTCTCTCTCTCCTAGAAATAAAAAAAAAAAAAAAAATTTCATCTGTTGATTCATTGTTGAATAAGTAACATATATTACTTGTTTTATGACAACTGCTATTTTTGTGAATTATTTTCCTTTTTTTTATGTAGGGCAATGGATACTAATCATCACACCACTGTGTTACATATTATATGATGGTAATCTCAGCCTCAAAGTCCAAAGGAAAATAGATATATTCCACAGTGTAAGGGGAAGCAGATATATGTCTTCTAGGTTTTGCCAAAGTTAGGAGAAAATGAGATAAATAATGAGTATTTTTTTCTTAAGTCAATTGAAAAGGTAAAAACTTGCCAATTCATCCTTTTATTCCACCTGCCATTTTCATGCTTTATTGCTTCAAATGTTTCACTCCTTCTTAGCCAAAAATGATCCATATTCTTCTATATTTACCTAAGAATGCCTGGCACATGGACTACTTCAGTGCTTTCCTAGTAGAATAAAAATTTCCCGCAAATTCTGTCTGTAGACTGTTCTGCCTTTGCTTCATTCACCCATTTGTTATTCTGGGAGATACCCACCCATTCCCTGCTGTGGGTACTCAAAGACTTCTTCACCTTGACATTATAAGGCAAAGTGACCTAGCTGTTTTGTATCCATCCAGGTTCCTTTTGTGTCTTTCATTTTGTTAGTATTCTGCCAACAACAGAGTATCCTAACAAATTAAAATATGATTAACATAAATATTCTTTGTGACTAGTATGCTATTTTTATTATATTGTTGATGGATTACTTAGAAACCAATGTGACTAATAGTCACAGGCAGGACAATAACTTGTGAAAAGAAAAAAAGAAAAAGGATGGTTTTCTTAGAGCTTTCGCTGTTAGCTATGGTCACATGCTTACCCCAATGGGTATTTCCTGACAGCTACAGGTGGATAAATGAGGGAAAACTGTAGCTCTGTAGCTCGTGCTGAGGATTTTGTAACACCTATACAAATACAGTTGTCTTTCTACCTATCTTCTGGGATTTAGGGTTAGGGGAACATGAACCAGAGTGTAAAAAAGAGCTTCACCTCAAGTTCCTATTTATTACCTAGGAACCAACAACACAGTTAATCCAAACTGACTTAGAATGTAATTTTCCATTTAATCTGACCCCTGGAAGGCAATTTTCTCATTTCAGTTAAACTTAAATACAAGAAAAATAACAATGATAATAATAACAATAATAGTATTAATTATAAACAGGTAATAAACTAAGCTCAATGCCAAGTGTTTTCTAAGTTATTTCATTGATACTCATTATTGTGTTATTTATGAAGCAAGTGAGAATCAGATGTATTAAATAATTTGTCAGACACCAAGAAGTTAAAGAGGCCAACTAAATACCAAACTCATCAAAGTGAGTCACCAAATAAAGGCCCTAACAGACTTTGAATCCTCTGCTTTTAGAGAGGAAACAAATCAGACTACTTTCTCTGACTTGCTAAATTTGATTAAGTACCTCTACTTGGGACAAGAATTTGCAGAAAAATACAGTGCTACTCCACCACTATAATAACATGCTGTATCTTTTTTGTGCAAATATAGTAATGAACTTCAACTGGTACAAGGTTCTTAAGAGTGTGGCTCATGGCTATCTCAGAACCTGTGAGTAAACAATCCTGTGTTTTTTATTCACTACTTTAGACATAATAATAGCAGAATGTCAACCACTGCACTAAGAGTTTAACACATATTTACATATAATTTCATATTCA